GTGTGTGTGTGTGTGTGTGTGTGTGTGTGTGTGTGTGTGTGTGTGTGAGTGTGGAGGTTGTGGAAATGAAGTGGTTTGTTGCCAGCGCTAATTGGATAGTCCTGTATATTAATTATTTTTTTCATTGCTGTGACTAAATGACCAAAAAAGCATCTTAAAGGAGAAAGGGTTTTCTCTGGCTCAGACTTTGAGGGTGCAGTCTGTCATGGTGGGGAAGCAGAAAGAGGACATGAAGTGGAACTAGCTGTAAACCTAGGCTTGTCTCCTAGAGGTCCACTTCCTCTAGTGAGGTTCTGTCTCCTAATGGTTCCATATTCTCCTAAAATAGCACTACTAGCTAGAGACCAAGTATTAATATGTAAACATGAACTTCTTTACATTTCACATGTAAACCATAACACTGTGCTTTTTGAAAATAAACTTAAATCTAAGTGAACAATCAGAACTCATGCTATGCTCAGAATGTTTGGATGACTGACGTGAAGATACTCATACTTGGGTCCTGGACTCAGCCTCATTTATTGTCTCAGCGAAATAGTGACTCTTACTAGCACTACAGGCTCAAGCTGTCAAAGCCAACTGCCATCCATATGAGATCATGGCCTAGACTTCAAGATTGGCATACTAACTATTTTGTAAGAATTTATGAGTTTAAAGGATTCTTAGGCTTGGGATTTTGGGTGGTGGTGGTAATTAAGGAGCAGTGGTCTCCAATATTTCCAGATGGCTACTATTTAACTTTGTTTGAGTTCAGATAGAAAAAGAGAGAGTCCCAAACTTTAGAAGTTAGTATCAAGAATACTTTCTGTTAATTTTCTCTGCTTTTCTGAAGTGAGCCTAATTGCAAACAATCTGCTTAGAACCAGCCATGTATTTGATAATGGCTTTGATTTTTGTCTGCCAGTGGACAGGGAGACCAAGGTACTCACTCACCAATAATTGATTGTCTGGATTCTGTTCCAAGCATACACTCTCTATAGTGGCGCTATTCAACATCTATTCTTCAGCCATCTTTCTAGCCCAACTTGTAACTCTCACCTCATCCATTCTTATCTTCAACCTCTGAGCCTTAATAAAGGCCTATTACTTTTCTTTAATGTTTTAGTTAAATGGAAATCATGAATTATTAGTGTGTGTGTGTGTTAGTTAACATTTTTTTTTGTTCTTAGCAAAGGTTAAGAGAGGATAAAAGGTTATATTGTCAGTAAAACAAAGGATATTTAATCGTGAAACTCTTGAAAGACTAGAGGAGAATATGGTTGATTCCTACAAATATTAATAGACTCCATTGGAAAACTCTCATGCTCCCTGTTTATAGACAACAGGTGAAGGGTAGAGAAGGCAATCTCTAGCCCACAATAACCAACTCTGTAGCTGCTGGACTCTGACAAAAAACTGAACCACGTCTCAAAGATAGTAGGTTTTCTGTGCTTCAGAGGGACCCCTCTCAGGTGATGCTGGGTGTTTGTAGATATTAAAAGCCAATGAGTCAAGATTTTAGAGAAAAGAAGAGGGGAAAAATATTTTCAGAAAAAAAAATGTGGTGGGGAGGAACTAACTATATCATTTTGTACAGTATCTGCTACCAGTGTCTGGAGCAGAAAACTTGACCATTGACTTTGTGACTCATCTGTTGCATGTTTCTGGCAATGAATATGCTCTAATAAGGCAAACTAACATAGAATTTCTTGTTTCTTGTCTGCTTAGGGTCATTGGTTTCTTGGAAGCTATTGTTTGCATAAAATTTGGACAAGATCTCTTCTCTAAGACCCAGATACTCTACGTTGTATTTTGGCTTCTTTGTGTGGTAAGTTATTATTCTCACACCCCAAACTGTTAACTAAACTCTCTAGCTGTCTCTAAGGAAACTGAAATAAAAAAAATTAGATTCTGTTGCACACAAGGTTTCCTTAGAGGTTTATAGACATTTTCTTAATAACTTAAGATTGGACACTAGTCTAAAAGTTTGATTAAAATACCGCCATATAGCAGCTGAAGTGGGTCACCTTGGCCATTTCCAAATAGATGCCTCAGCAAGTACACCACCTATGTGATTACTTTGCTTCTGAGAATGTGTCTACATGAGGTGAACCTGTGAGGACTTTGAGGCAGCAACAAGGACAATTTCCATGCCCTCTCCTTCATCCTGCCACTGTGGCTAAAACATACATGTCATTATACATGGGTTTTATACAACATGGCATTGCAGAGTGGTTTTGGAAGCAATCAGACCACAGGTGTTCTGCCTTGTAGACCACATTTCTACCCCAGAGAGGAACCCACTCTGAAGAGAGGAGCCCAGCGGAGCATCAGCCCAGCACTCCGTTTATTTCTGTCCTTTACTCTCGCCTTTGAAATCTAAGTGTTGGAAATTTAGCTAGCTTAATTGTATTCAGGTCTTGTGCAGAAACCACAGATGGTGTGAGTTCATGAGTGCAGTGGTCTTGTCGTGTCTAGAGGACACTGTTTCATCCAGGCTTCCTTGACCTATACTTCACATTTTTATAATTTCTTTCAATTGTTATCCACCCATCCCAAGTCGCTGTCATACCTGTCATGCCTCTTGCTCTATAGCATTTCCTTATGTCTTTAGCTCAACCTCCCTTGCAGTTTGAGGGAGAAAGCAGCTCTTCTGTCCTATAGATTTCTTACTGTCTTATCAACTTCATCCTGTCCTATAATTAGCACACTTCCTTGATTTTCCGTAAGGTGCTTTTGTTTTGTTTTATTTTGTTTGTTACTTTTGCTATGTCTGTTTTTAGGGTTGTAGTTTAGAAATTACAACTACACCAGCACCTTGTATCTTGTTCTGCCTTTCTTGATCTTGAGCAGTAACAGGGAGTGAGTATCTCCAATTTTATTAAAATACAGAATTAATAATTAATTGATCAAAGTACAGATTAATTGTATTTTTCTATCCTAGTAAGATTAGAAGAAAGAGTGAGTTGGGGATATTAGGTGTATGTGATGCTTTGCTTCTAATCTCCTTGGATTGTTCTCTGACATGGTACTTCAGGTTTGGATTTGAATATGACCTGAGGGCTGCTCACGTTACCTGCTACTGGAAAGCCCTGGGACCACAGCAAGGATAAGCCAGAGTGCTCCCCAGAGGTGGTAGAGGATACTTCTTACCACAGTGCATGGGGCCAGCCAGTCAGCATGTCATACCTGGCTATTCTAGTCCTAACCTATGTATTGGAGTTGATTTTGTTTATATCTGCATCCACAACAGTTTTCTTTGTGAGTATAAATAAGCTTAATCATTCTTTTGTTACCACTGTCATGAGTACCAAACCTGGTATCAGGTTTCTCAGGAATTTCAGAGAGTATGTAAAGAATGAGTACATAAAGTATGTAAAATTGGAGAGGCAAAGACTAGACATATCCAGATCAAGGGATCAGCTTGAGTAGACATGGAACTGTGAAAGGAAAGAAGGAACATTTGTAAATGGAGACTGCACTTTCATTTCCCAGCCACCAAGAACCAAAGAATCACCAAAATCTTTATTAATTACAACACTGTTTGGCCAATGGCTCAGACTTATTCCTAGCTAGCTCTTACATCTTAAATTAACCCCTTTCTATTATTTTATATTTTACCATGAGGCTCGTGGTTTGTTACCTCACATCTTGCTTCTTGGGTGACTACATGGTGTCTCCCTGATTCTGCCTGCTTTCTTCCTCCATTCAGTTTAGTTTTCCTGCCTAGCTATGTTTTGTTCTGCCATAGGCCAAAGCAGCTTCTTTATTAACCAGTGGTAATAAAACATATTCATAGCATACAGAGTAGAATCACACATCACACACTGAAGAGGATAAGAGTTTCCTGTATAGGAAGGTCTATGCGTACTTGTGTTGATGGATGAGAGCCTTGCTCGTCCTGGCTGCCTGGCTTGCTTACAACCAAAATAACCACACACACACAGAAACTGTATTAATCAAATCACTGCTTGGCCCATTATCTCTAGCCTCTTATTGGCTAACTCTTACATCTTGATTTAACCCATTTCTATTAATCTGTATATCTCCACATGGCAGTGGCCTACCAGGAAAGATTTGGCTTGTCTGTCTCTGGCAGCTCCATGGCAGCTCTCTCTGACCCTGTTTTCTTCCTCCCATCATTCAGTTCTGTTTTCTCCACCTACCTAAGTTCCGCCCTATCAACTAGGCCAAGGCAGTTTTGTTTATTCATTAACCAATGAAAGCAACATATAGATAGAAGGACCTCCTACACCATACTTGTAGTTGGGTCTTTTAGGTTTTATAAATGAGAAAAGAATGTGGTCTGATTTTTGTCACAGAGAAACACTGTGCAGGATGGAGTCTTGAGGAAGGATGTTAAATTAGAGTATGTTGCTAGGTCCTATTTGACAAGTGACAGGTGGAAGCGAAGCAGAGGCATAAAGGGCAAGGAAGGGACTAGTTGGTTTGTTAGTTGTCCTGGAGATAATTGTATAGGACACTTGCTGTAATTACCCTGGGGTTTCTGGATTGGGTAGTAACAGGTCAGTGCACATGAGAGCAGCCTATAACAACAGTTCTGAGTTGAGGTTAAATTTACAGTTGAAGGCATCTTCTCTCATTGTCTGCCTCACTAAAATTTTCATCTGCTCAGTAACATTGGAAAAGGCTTGCTCAGGGGTGGACTGAGCCAAGCTGTCCCTATGTAGGACTAGGAGACACCGTGAGATTATAGGAAAAGTGTGAAAACACTCTACAGGAACTTGGGATTCCATGGAGCAGCTGTATTTAAGAGGCCAAGTAGAGCTTATATATTTGACAGCCATAAGATGACAGTGAGACTCTGAAGACAGGCAGAGTTCCTGATTGACCTGATCAAGTATGGCAGGCAATGAGAGCACTCAGCTTGAAAAGAAACCAATAAGCTAGTCAGCTTCTATTCCTGTAACAAATATCTGAGATCAGTTCAAAGAGAAAGGTTTTGTTACTCTTTTGGGGACTTCTATCTACAGTCATTTATCCCCATGGTGTAAGCACAGTAAGAACAAAGGAAAAAGAAATTTGGCCTCATAGCCAGATGTGAAAGAAAGGACTCTGGCCTATTCCTTTGTCAGCCACATTTGCTGAGTATCCTCTGAAGTCAGTGTCCTTCTAAGGTCTCAAAAGAAGGAGTCTCAGTTCTCCAATTGTCTGCCCCCTTCTTTACCAAGGAGGTTGCGTTAGAGGCACGGTAGCAAGAGAGATATGAAACCCAATCCATATGTAAATAGCAGTTCTCTACATGATAGACTTTTAAAGAATGTGAAGGAGAGATTCATCAGTACCTTTAAGAGTAGCCCTCTGTGACCTAAGACCTTCTCCTGTGCTCTGCCGTTTGGGTTCCTACCACCTCCCAGTTGCGACAAGCTGTGAGCCAAGGCTAACATGGACCTCCAAGGGACATTCAAGACCCCAAACATAGCAAGTTCCACTGCTTTGCATGTTTCACAACCAGAAAGAATGGAAAATAAGATCCCAAGATTTTCATACCAAGGCCTTTACTTCTCCCTCTCAGGAGTGAGATGATTGTTATTCAATAAGAGAGCAGTAGGTTACACTATGGCTGCCATAGTACTCAAGAAACAAAGGCCCTAATTCTTTCCTCTGCTTGGTAAGATACCACACACAGAATTTGAGATTAATGTGGAAGCTAGCAACTCATGTGCTGAATAATGAAGCTGTTGAATAATCATCATATATTTTAATGTTCTTTACCATACTGTAAAACAAAACTGGATTCTGCGTGATCACTAATGCTGCATCCATGGGCACAGACTCACAGAGTTTTCTATTCTCCCTCATCCCTCTTAAAACAAAATCTACTCGCAATTAGTATTTTAAATCTGGATCTTGACATTTTAAGTGGGTACTTGCCTGCATTTCCACAGGTATGCAAACCCATAAATTATAAGCTTTTGTGTCCTGAACCAAGTATAATATGAGCCTCTTGTACTAGGTGAAGTGGTAGATTTGGCAACCACATTAGGCCCTTCGTGTGGTGATCATGATAATGGCACCTTTCCTTTGCCACCTGCCTGTGTTTGCCTGGTCCTTCTGCAGAACTAGCTCTGTTTGCTGTTTCTGGTTGGAGAAAGCCTCAGCTGCAGCGTGAAGGCACAAGCTTGGATGGAGATAAGAAACTCTGCATATTCTGGATTTTTGGGGATCCAGTCTGATTAGATACTCACCTTCCTGGTCCTGGAGGGAGCGGGGAGGAACTTGAACTACCCACAGGGCAGGAAACCCTGACTGCTCTTAGGGATGGAGAGGGAAGAGGAGAGGGAGTGGGGGGAGTGGGAGGGTGTTGGGAGGAGGGGCGAAGATGGAAACTTTTATATTTTAATAAACTTTGAAAAAAAAAAGAATCTCAAGAGCTTGCACGCCTGCCCTCTGGTGGTCAGAATGTGCAATGGCAGGCCAGTGGAGGTGTTGCTGTCCTCCCAGGCTCATTCTACAGCCAGTTCTTTGGCTCTCCCAGTGTGAAGCCTGGGACATCCTGTTGTGCCCTTGTAAAAATCTTAACACAATTTAGGTTCACACGCGGTTGTACATTTCTGCTTGTTGCTATTCTTTCCCTTCCATGAGAAATGGCAAATGTTGGTATATGTTAGAAAATTTGGAAAAGTATTAGAATATGCTGGAGGTTAGAAGTTGTTTACATTTTGTAACTGCAGTATATTCATTCAGTGCATAGTTTTTGTTGTGAGGGAATGTGAACTTCTCTTTAAAACTCATCATGTAGAGATCTGTTAGTTTGCATGTGGACTGGGTTTTGTGCTCTCAGTCACCATGCCTCGCACAGCCAACTGGAGCACTGAGATTCCTTTCCTTTGGGTTCTTAGGAGGATACTGACTTCAGAGACTTAGCAAATGTTGAGGACATGAAGGAATGGGCCAGAGCTTAGGCTCCAGTCAATTGGGGTTAGGGTTACAATTCTGCTGCTCTTGCTTGTCTGTTTTTCACCTACCATACTGTGCCTGTTCAGGGTGGGTGAGGCTGGCGTCTGATGCTCTCTGATGCCTTGTTTTCCTCAGAGGATGGAGGAGCTCCATGGCGGGATCACAGTATCTTATCAGATCAATTATATCTTTAAAACTTGGACTTGGTCTGTCAGGAAACCTATGTTCTGACTCCAGCTTTTCCCCACATCACCAGAGTCCCTGGAAGGCATTCACCTCTCTGAGCTTTTTTTCCCTTTTTGTTAATGTGGGAAGATTAAGAATCTCTGAAGTGCCCTTCTAGATCTAAAGCTCTGATTCTCAGAAAGAACTAAAATTATTCTCCTAGGAAGAGAAGGTCCTGCCATGATTTCAGACCTGTCCCCTTGGTTGAGATGAGGTGATGGCTAACAAAGTACCCGAGTGTCCATAGGAAATAGTGTGAACTCTCTGGGCATTAGAAATGGCTCAGTATAAGTGTTCTGGATAGCAGGCTGTTTTTTGTTTGGTTGCTTTTGTTTTCTTCACTTACTCTTTCTGGTCCCTCCTTGCCCCCTTCATACCCATTTTCTGCTGACCCTCTTGTTCCCTTTGTCCTTTGCTACTCAGTCTGGGCAGCCAAAGACTTTTCCTAAACTTAGTTTTGACACATTTTGAAAATTTGAATTCTCAATACCCATGAGAGATGAGTTACATGTCCCCACCCTTGGGATATACAAATCCAGTAGCTATTAATTCCTACATTCTCAATGGCATTGCATTTGCACAGTGTATGCATGTCCTCCTATAGCATTTAAATCATATGTAGATAAAACATAAATACTGTGTAACTTTTTTTTTAGGGAATGATGAATATTTAAAAACTTTTATGTTTGGTACAAATACATTTTCTTTTCTCAAAATATTTCTGAACCAGTTTGTTGACTCTGAGGATGGGAAATCTCTGCATGCAGAGGGTCAATTATCTGTGATTTTGTTCTTTCACTAGCGTTTTATCTAAGGTGTAGCACTGGCTTGGTGAAGAGTCAAGGTTGAGGTAGAGATGCCTGGCTTCTGGGTAGCCACTCATCTCACTCAGGCTGTTACAAAGTATTTTCAGTCTCTTTGTTTTCCTATCTACAAAAGCAAAAGCAACAGGGGTCAGGGTGAGTAAAGTGGCACCGAAAAGCCAGTATGTAAGTGCAGCATTGTTGCTCTTGCTCGGTCAGTAGGGATGCCTTCCCAGGCATTGTTATGGTGAGGCTGAATGAGGCTTTTCCATCCAGAAGTTCTCTTTCTTAAGCTGAATCTCTGGACTCGCTGGGTAGAGCCACATGTCTGGTCTCACCATAGCATGTCTTACAAATGGAGTAGATATGGCCTGCCCAACCCCAGTCCACCAAGCCTGTTCATGCTTTTCTCAGTCTCATCTCTGCCACATCCAACCATTTTGAAGCCTTGACCTGAAGACAGATGGCAGAAAGGCACTGAGATATCTTCCGGAAACCCAATTTCTGGGAAATGAAGTGTGTGCACTGTTGTTTATAAAGGGGCATTGCATTTTTCTCTCTTCCAGGCCTTCACCACGTTCCTGTGTCTGTACGGCATGGTTTGGTATGCAGAGCACTATGGCCACCGGGAAAAGGTAGAGGAGGAAAAAGATTTGACTTTCATTTAAAAGACCTAGCGTGTATCCCAAACACTCAGAGGGAAATAAATAGCGTAGCAGCCTCAGGGAGTGATGTCAGTCCTGCCATATAGAAACTTAACATGTCAGAATGTGTCCTTGCTGCCCAGCTGTGTTTGCTTGTAGCTGTCCTGCCTGATCAGTATTTTTATCCTCCGATTGCAAGGTGTTTAAATCTTAGTTATTTAAATCAAATTTTAAAAATTAGCTAAAACAAGTGTAGAAATGAGAAACTCCTGAACCCGTTCTCGAGGTTATCTTATATTCTGGCTCTTTTGCCATTTCAGACCTTTTTATATGTCCCTGTCCAGACTCCCCATGCACTGCCTGCTCCTTCCAGTTAAAATAGAGCATGATTTGAGTGGGTTTTAACACTAGAGTAGTCCTGGGGATTATTGTATTTGGGGTGCGTGTGTTGGTTGTTGGTGTGTGGGTTTACTTATGTATTCAGGAGGATGTGGGTGGGGGAGATGTTTTGTGGAGGCCACAGGCTAACGTCAGACATCATCAGATATCATTTCTCTCTATGCACTTGTCCACTTTTTTTTAGTCCCTCTCACTAGTTATAATAAGCATGGAACACTCTGCCAGGCTTTTTAATTTGTGTTCTAGAGATTGAACTTAGGTGTCAGGCTTTTACAGAAAGCACTTTACTGACTTAGCTATCTCTCCAGCCCTCTCTTTGTTTAAATAAAGATAATGCTGTCATTCTTTGTTCATAACTTTGAGCTTGGATATCTGTGTATGTATGTAATATCATGGTCAAACACAGGGCCTTGCCCATGCTATATCACAGCCTCAGAGCTAATGCTCTCTAGAAGATTGCTTCTGTGTGGTTTTCTAGCTGAGAAATACAGGATGAATCTTTGTCACACTCAGCCAGGGTTCACGTTTTTTTTTTTTTTTCATCCTGCCATTCTTCTCAGGACTTACCTAAAGTTTACTCACTAAGCCTGTGTCTCTCTTTAGACCTACTCAGAGTGTGAAGATGGTACTTACAGTCCAGAGATCTCCTGGCATCATGGGAAAGGCTCAAAAGGTAACAACTGTCTTGCCCATTGTTTAAAGCATTATTGAGTCATCTATACCCTCAGACTTACTGTGGAGATTTGGGGTCAGTATTCACCTCCTGAACTTCAGTGAGGAGTCTCAAATCTACTTATCAACTCTCACCTGCCACTTACTAAGAAACACAGTTTTCACAGACTCTGCCCAGATGCTTGCTTTGTGAGATGAGTTTCCACACTGGGTTCTGCTTTCCTCAGGCAGGAAGGCAGGGGACTTCAAGCCCCATAATAGGAGCGCTCTCTCTCTCTCTCTCTCTCTCTCTCTCTCTCTCTTTCTCGACTTTCAAAGTAAGTGAAAATGCTTCGAGAGGGCTATGTGCCCCTGAGAGAAGGCCTTTCAGACTGACCTTATCTGGTTCCATCCAATTTCATATCAACTCTGGGCACTTCTGGTTCTCCAGTAGAAAGAATTCATGAGTGGAAGATATACTGCTTATGAAGAACGGTTTAGAAAGAAAGAAAGAAAGAAAGAAAGAAGAAAGAAAGAAAGAAAGGAAGGAAGGAAGGAAGGAAGGAAGGAAGGAAGGAGAGAGAGAGAGAGAGAGAGAGAAGGAAAGAAAAGAGAAAAACAGTTCAGATTCAGATTCAGGAAAGTTTGGAGTGTGACAAATGATACTTAGAATTTAGACAAGACTCTGGGCCTTTGGGGAATGGAAGTAAGTGGCTGTCTTTGGTAAATATTTCTCATGGAACTGAGCCATAACTCTGGGGGAGAGGGCAGAGGGCAGTTAGACTTAGCCACTGGTGTAGGGACTGGCCACAGGCTCTATCAGTGTCACCTCAGGCTGTCACTCACAAGCAGCAGGTACCTGACTTGTAAAGATGTTGATATCTCTGCTAATAATTTTAATTTAATGAAGTCAAGAATCTTTTCCGACTGAGAGCTTACAAAGGCTGTTTAACAATTCAGTGTGTACAACTTGGGGAGTCTGTACTGTTGTTGTAAGCATAAGATGAATACTGATGTTACTGAACTTTTATAATTGTCCCTGTTTGGGCTTTCATTTGTACTCTCAATTCTGGTCCTCATGACTGCGCTGTGTCCAGTCTATTTTACATACTGCCAGAATAAAAATTTCTCAGGACCCAGGTCTTATGGAGGGCAGTTACCTTGTACACTTGAGGCACAGCCAGACTCTGTCAGGTTCACATGGCCTTAATTTATTGATGAAGCCACTAGAGGGAGAGCAAGTGTTGGGTAAGAGCTGAGTTCTAGCCAATAGGCTAGGGAAAGCTAGAAAGGGAGAACCACAGATCCCAGGAACCAGCAGCAAAACTCAGAGGTCCCTAGTGATGGTGTGTTGACTTCCTTTGGACAGGTTCTGAAGACAGCCCACCCAAGCATTCAAGCAACAATGAAAGCCATTCTTCCAGAAGAAGGAACCGGCATTCCAAGTCCAAAGTCACCAATGGAGTTGGAAAGAAATGAAGGGACCTAGTTAATCTCACATGTTCCAGAGAGTGCCTAGACCTGAGAGGGCAACAAAACACACTCAGACCTTCCTATGTGGAGATCAAAATGTACAGAACTTACACAAAGAACAGAAGGGACTTTGGGGATCATGATTTGAGAGTGTAAGTCTTGTCTCCCATTGCCCTGAACACACATTAGACTGGCCATGGCTTGGGGTACTTTGCCTACAGGAGGTGTCCTCTAACTTCAGCACATGCCGTGTGGTTGCTGATCTCTATGCAGTGTGCTGGGAGGACAGGATAGCTGTTTGCTCCTGGTTGCCAGCAATGGCTCTATGCTCATGTGTCTTGTGGACGCTGTATAAATAACTTCGTTCAGATGCCGACTTGACCAACTGGTTAATGAACTGCTCACTGGGTTTTATTTTTATGAATCTGCCTTTCCATTTGACTGATTAAGTTCACTTTGCTTTTTTATCTTTTATTTCATATTTTCTAGTTAGAATGCTTAAAAGCTTCCAGAATCCACTGCTGAAATTGGGGTTCCTTCGAGAGAAAGGGTGAGGGAGCTTTTGTGTCCCTGCTTAGCATATTCAGTCCCTAGCCACATGACAGATGATCAGCAGTCTAAGTTTGAAGGAGGCTGACTGCTTGCACTAGAGCCTGAGCTTCGGATTGGAACACTGTCCAGCCCGAGTGTACAAAAGCGACCCTGCTGCAGGAGCTGGGGCACTGCGGCTCCTCTCCTGCCAGGTGCCTTTCCCGTGTGCTTGGTTTCCTTCCGTGGTGTGTTGCCTACTTTGTCTTTCTGTCTCATGTGAGGTGCTAGTGAGTATTAATTAACTCTCATCTGTGCCATGCTCTCCTAGAACATTCTCCCACCCTGGATCCTTGTTTTAAATAAATCAGTTCACATGAAAAACTTCTCAAATATCTGTCTGTTAAAATGGCATTTCTTCGTACTTTTTTGATCTTTTAACTGTTTATAAGCAACCTCATATTTTACAATTGACTTTGGGATAATAAATATGTGTGTACGTTATAGGCTGAAAAGAAAAAGAATATTTTAAAAGGACTTATATGTCTTAGCCTGAATGTCCCAGAGTGATCCACAGGAAGTGTCGCCATTGTCTGCCACTATGGTCATGCTTATTAAGTCCATTTTCTTTCTCAAACAAGTGGCCTGCACAGATACAAACTTGCTAGCCCTTTCCCTTATTTCCCGGAGCACAATGATTTTTGTGTCTTTGCCCCTCTTAAAGGAAATTTTTGAACCATAGAAGCTAGGTTTTCCTTCTTTTAAAAAAGAATTCCCTGATGAGAGAGTTAAATGAATCATGAACAGGCAGGGTCACAGTCAGTGCTCTGGGTGACCACTTGATTTAGAGTTACCCACAGACTTATCTCTTCAGCCAAACATGTCCTGAGAAGAGCATCAGCAGCAACTGGCCCACACTGGGAGTCCAGGGCAGGCCATAACTGTCAGCTTCCTCACTGTGTCCCATGAATGTGTTTAAAGTGGGACAAAGCATTGCATGCTGCACATACTACCTGTCATTTCCCACCCCTTGTTTTCACAGTTCTGGAACTGAACCCAGGGCCTCCTGTGTGCTAGACAAGAGTTCTGCTGCTGAGCTTTGGCTTTCTTGCATTCCGTTTAACAAGCTTTTATAAACATAGTATGACTTTAAAACATCACTTTGCTTTGTAAGTAGGTGAGTTTGTTTTGTTTCTATGCAGTTTTGATGAGTCCAAAAATTTGTATCTGTCTTACAGATTCTATGGCATGTCATAAAATCTATAAGGGTTTCCAAGTCCATTTTCCGGGAAAGTTTGGTCTGGTGTTGTAGGACTCATCTAGTAGGTGGCTCAGCTTCTCCAAAGGGGCACATGCCCATTTTTTACAACCAGACAGTTAAGTGCCTGTGGAGTTGGTGGTGAATTTGACATTGCTGTGGTATGCACAAGAACCAAAGTACATATGAGGCAGTGTTTCCTCTCTGGTTTTGTTGGAAAGCACGTTGAGTTCAAAGTTTCTTTTTCCTCTTTGAGCAAGTGCTCCTTGCTACTGTATTGGCCAAACCAACACTTAATATGACTGTGGTACTGTTTCTTGTCTACACCACACCACTGGTCCTAGCCTACATTTCCACCCATCTCTGAAAATTGATCCCAGGTTGATGAAAGTAGAATACATGTTCCAGAGGCATCTTTCAGGGAGTGGTAACTGTTAAGTCACCTCATGACCCGCTAGGCAGATTGCTGTCTTTAAAGATACCACTGTTGAGGGTATAAAGCAGGAGGAAATTTTTGTGTCTTTCTCCCTAATTAACATTGTACTGAGTGACAGACCCTGTTTCATTTTTATCATCCTTGATCCCTACAGACCTCTTTTCCTTCCCTCTTGTTCCTTTCATTGCTCATAAAGAAGCCTTGACCAACTAACTGTTCTCCCACCCATCCTCAGATATATTACTGCCCTGTTGAGCGTTTTGAAGATACCCAACATCTGGTAAATGACAGTCTTCACTAAGACTTCTTCTGTGGTGAACTTGGACTTCGAGTTCTCATCCAAGAAAATAAAATTGGTTACGTCAGTCCCACCTTCCTGGTCCCCACTCAGAAACCACTTGCCTCAGAGAATTCTGAGAAATGTTACCTGCTTTGTTAAGGCCTGCATTTTGGAATTGGATTTCCAGAATATTTGGGGTAAATGGTGCATTTCGACGTCCTCACAGAGAGTGACTAGTAGTGAGACTGGGCAGAGAGGAGAAGGCTTACTACTAGATAGGAAGTAAGTGGGGCCTTTGGGAGCAGACTGCAGTGCAGCCTTTGAACACTGTGTTAACATCCATTGACTGTGCTTGGTGACTCTCATAGTCACTGGCCTACCACAGTGTTTACCAGGTGAGTGTGACTTAAACATTCAGAAAGTCCACAGGTGGACTATTGTACCTGCATTTTTCTTATTTCTGTGATGGAAAAAGACCTCTGGCTCCTGCATCCCATCGTTCAGTGAAACACTTCTTTTCTTTATGCATATGCATGTTTCTATGATTACATTTGAGATTTGGTTCTTTGCAGTCAGTATTGGAATGACTGATACTGATGAGCCGCAATCTTGCTGCTCATCCTAATTACTAGTTTTTTGTAACTTTTATTTTAAACCTTATGGTAAGATGGTCACAGGTAAACGCTGCAATATTTTTTTTTAGTCAGACTTTGGAATTTGATGCAATAAATAAAATGGATTTTTAATTTTGCCCTTCTGTGAACATAATTTGTTAGCATATATTGATTGTACAAAATACTTGGTTTCATTATGACATCTTCATATGTGTATACAATGTATTTTGATCATATTACCCATTGCTCTCTTTTGCCTCCCCTCCTATCCAGATGGTCTATAGTCTTTTCCTAATTTTAAAGGAACTATTAACTACAATAGAAGAGGGAAATAGCTGGACTTGTTTAGTTTGTAGGCATGCTGAATTGTAAAAGATCTTTCTTGTCTGTGATGTCCACTAAAAATGCCTTTGATCTACTTTAAAAATTTTAGTGGTGACTTTGTCTATCCTGGTATTACTTTTCTTGCAATGGATGTACTGGAAAAAAAAAAAAAACCAAGAGTTTTATATGTAGCCAAGCTGGCCATGAATTCACAGAAGTCTTCCAATTTCAGCCTCCTGAGTGCTGTGATTATAGGCATGTACCACCTCACCCAGCTTGGGTAGAAATTTAAAGCTTCCTGCTGTCTGAGGTGGCATATTTTGCAACATTTTCACACTATTCAAAGATTTGCTATGGTCCAGGTCCCATCAAGACTTCATGTTGAAAGCTGGTCTTTATGTTCAGTGTTCCCTACTAGCTGGAGAAGTGGGTGTCAAGCCAGCCTCCTGCTCATAGTCCTAGCACAGACTTCCAGGACCCCAGCATGATTGCTCTCTTAAGGCAGAGAAGAAGGTCTTAGCACATCCCTTCCCCCAGGGCCTAATAAGGACAGGAGCATCTTGAAGAAAATAGAATTTGCTAAAGAACGTTGCTGTCCAGCAGAGTCAACCAGCTTGGGGGTATCTAGCTATCTGGACTCATACTTATATATTTTAATATGACCATGTGTTAATTACTGCATTTTCTTTGGTACTGGAATGTTATGATGTTATTGAAACTATAAGGGTCTGCATATTGTGGACTCGAGTAGCATCCTGGGACAAGAGGAAGATTTTCTACTAGATACCCACACCCTCTCCTAGTAGTCAGACACTCCTGTTCCAGGATAGAGAGCCCCCTCCCTTTTCTGGATGCTAAATAAAGGAGTCTCTGTGGCTTCACAAACCACAAGAAATAAGATTTGTGTGTCTTTAAAAGAACATGATTTCTTAAAATCTCAAACAAAAGAATCAAAAACATTACATTGTTGTATGTAAAACACACACAATATACTAGTGCCTTTGTGTTGAAGACTTGCTCTCTGTGGGGCTCCTGCAGCTGATCTAGGTATTTCTTCTCTAAGAGAAGGCAAACTAGAAGACGTAGTCTTTCCCAGTAGTACCTGTCTAGAAATAAAACCTCATTGGCCTGTGGCATAGAGCAAGCAAGCAGACTGGTGAGACCAAAGCCCTTTGTTAGTGGCAGTGGGTCAAGTTGGGTACAGTACACATTTCTAGTATGGAAGTGTTCTGTCGTCCTACCTGTAATTTGGCCAAAATACCTAGACCAGCTGCAGGAGAAGTTTTATAGCACCACAGAGAACAGGTCTTTAAGACAAAGACCCTAGGAACCTCTGAAATAACTCTGGATGTGGCTCTCAGAATCCCTATCTTCCCAGCAGCCTCCATAACACAGGGCTTGCTTCACTTGCCAGGTGCCAGAGTAATAACCCAATTCCGAGGGAAGACTGTCCCAGATCTTCACATGTAGGCTTGTTCTGTGAGTCCTGTCAGTTCAGTGGTATCTGCCCATTTTCTGCGGTGAGATGGCATGGAGCCGTTGAGCACTTGCCCCAGGCACTGGGCCAAGAAGGAACTGTCAGTCAATTCAGAGCCCCAAGGCTCTTCTTCCAGATGTCTGGACATATGACTTGAGTTCCTGTCCTGTTTCCCCATCACTTGACTGAGCCTTTAGGTCTCTACCTACAGCCCTCCTATACAGCGTCATCAGCTCACAGATCTTTGGAGAATCACACTCTTTATGTGATTCTCCAATCACCCCTCCTCCTTTCAGATCTCAGGGCCTCTGGGGTTGCCTTCATTTGAGATGAATGACCAATCTGCCAACCCACTCTCCATATGTTGGCTGCAAGGGAAGTGACTGGTCCTGGCAATTAGGGTCTGTCTACAACTTTTCCGTCCCTTTGTACCTATAACCTTCAGTGGGCTAAGATGCCATCTCTAGACACAGAATTCTGCCTCTCCATTAGAATTCTTTTTCTGGAGGGTTGGTGTATGCTGTCAACCTCCAAGGCAATTTGTTCCTGCTACTAGCTCCCTCTGCCTGCAGGAATGTGATTTACAATCTAGAGAGACCAGAAAGCTCTAACCCTTCCCATCTGAAAAACAGTAAGCATGGGAAAGAATGTAAATTATATATAACAAATTCCTATGGTCAACAATAATAGGATGACTGGGATGGATTATTTTTTTAAATAAGGGTTGCATATGGCTTTAATTTCTAATGGGCCCACCATATTTCTACAAAGAACAGATAACAGTACAATGTCCTGCTGAGATATAGTGCTTTTCCAAAATGAAATATAGCACTTCTTGGATGACTCACTAAATACTTCCAAGTACCCATTCTACACTGATGGGAATGGAACAGTAGGTGGCAGTAACATACTAATACTTGTAGGATTAGTTGTCAGGTATCAGTCGTGTGTGTGTGTGTGTGTGTGTGTGTGTGTGTGTGTGTGTGTCCATCTCCTCCACCCCA